GCACTTGACGTCCATGAAGAAGGATCGAGGGGCGGGCACGAGGGTCTAGTATTGTTAGAGTTTTGTCGTCATGAAAATTTGTCGATGCATCGTACCTTGAGCTTGTGCTTCTTGGCCTCGGCGGCCGGGGAAGGGTTCAAAAGATCAACGGCGAGAACCTGAAAAGGCGGAGAGTCAGCCAGCTTGTTCCATCAACTTGCGTATATCCTTTGCGTGTCCAATCCATCATCCCTTGTGCCATCGATGTCGTGGTCCATCAAATTGATACTTTTGCCACGGGCAGCAAGATCTTTTCGAGGTCGATGCTTTTCACGTTGTTTCACACACGTGGTCGTCGTCCATCCATCTCCCATCGTAGGTCCATCGTAAAGTGCGTCAGAAAAAGGCAGTCGCTTACCATCTTGTCTGATTTTCTCGAAAAAGTCTTGTCGGTTTCTTGCGAGAATGGGAAAGCTTGACGAAATCCGGGATCAGATTTGAGGCTCGCAAGGTGGGTGGGAAGGAGGTAAGCGAGGAAAAGTTCGGTGGCTCTGAGGGGAACGACTGCCTCTTGCCTCTGGGCGGATTCCGTTGCCTAATCAGGTAAGCGCGATAGGGTTGTAACTTCCTCGCACGTGACAGGAAAAAAAAAGAGGTAATTGTGGCTACCTCTAGTAGGGTATCTGTACTCCGTAGTTCGGTGTAACATAGAACCGGGTGGAGCTGTGCAGGCGAGATGTGCTTGGAGGGGTTAATGCGAGTTATGCATCGAGAGCTTTGTTAGCTGCCTGTATCTATCTGTACGTAAGCCAGTCAGTGATTAGGAGGAGCCTGAAGTTGAGTTGCGTCAGTCGGTCGTAGGCTACTATTTTTAGACAATACAAATTGTACTGAGGAGACTTTTTGAAGAGATCCTGCTATTTCTTCTGTCTCTCAAAATGTCTAACCCGCTAGAACAACGCATCAATGTCCCTATTGACGACCCAAATGCAGACACAGAATGGTAATTCTCTGCTACCCCTCCATACTCATGAGTTAGCTCAAACCCCGCCATAGGAATGATATTCTTCGAAAACATGGAGTTATTCCTGAGAAGCCCCCCAGCCCGACTCCTATGATTGAGGAGGCTATTCTTGAAGGACGAAGATTGGCACATGAGAATCGCTTGGAAGGCAAAGACCTCGACGAGTTGGACGAACTTGAAGACGACGAAGATGAAGCTTTCTTGGAGCAATATCGCCAAAAGCGCATGGCCGAGCTGAACAGCCTACAAAAGAAGGCTTTGCATGGAAGTGTATATCCTCTATCGAAACCCGAGTATCAACGCGAAGTCACCGACGCATCACAAAATGGACCGGTTTTTGTCAACTTGACATCTTCAATGGGCAACAATGTTGAGTCGCGAGTCTTGACTGAGCTATGGAGACAAGCTGCGAGGGAGTACGGCGAGATCAAGTTCTGTGAGATCCGAGCGAGCCAGGCCATTGAGAACTATCCCGATCGAAACTGCCCAACAATCCTGGTATATAACAAGGGGGATATTGTTAAGCAGATTGTAACATTGGCAACAATTGGAGGCGTCCGAACAACCATGCAACAGATTGACAATCTCTTGGTCGAAGTCGGTGCTGTACCTGATTCCGACATGCGGATTGTCAAGCGCAGGCAAGCTGCTGAGGACGCTGAGGAGGAGAGATTGGCTGGCAAATCTATCAAGACGGGAACGGCTGGAAGGTCACGGAACGTTGACAGTGAGGATGATGACTGGGATTAAACGCGCTATGAAGAGAATCCGTGGCTTTGGTTGAAGTGACCATTGGATTGGCTAGCGTCAGACAAGGTGCAAGTCTCAATGTCCCAACGCAAGGCCGCAATGGATGTTGCTATAGTTCTTGTCAGATGTGACAGAAGGCCTGTGCGGTCCTGACTCATGACAGCTCTTCAAGAAAGATCGGGCTTTCACTCTCCAGTATTTCCAGAGCCTCAAAAACCACATGCTCAACCAGGCAAGACGGGGAAGGAAACTGTATATGCCAGTGAGGGACAGTTTCGTACATTATTTGTCCTTGCTACATGACAAGTCCAAGACGGGACATTGTTCAAGAGTTGGGAAACAAGAGGCCCATGCATGAGCGCAGTAAACACGCATAACAAAATACCATATCATTCCCAAGCCTTCTATCACCACGTGCTGTGGGCAGTGAGATCGTCTGATAGCTGAGGCTACCAGCATATGATCTTCCTACAAGACAAAGCCCCCAGAAACGGCAGTACTTGTAATAGGGATGCTTTCAGGGGAGTTTTGAATACTCGTTGTATCAGTAGGGTTTTACGGCATATGCTTGTCGTATCAAGAATCTGTTGTAATACTGAGCCACTTCCCCTACAGACAGGATGCACAAGGTGACCCTTGCAGGCCAAGAGATAACAAAGGTCAAAGCTTGCTTGTCTTGCTGATCTGGGTTGCCGGGATTACTACGGAGTAGGTGGTGTGCATGCATGCACTTGAAAGAGACAGGGGGCAGGTTGTGATCTGACCAAGGGTGTAAGTGACCAAGTCCGCGAGGAGTGACACATCCTAGCCTTAGCGATTCTCCTGTAAGTATCAGCGAAGTTAGCACGCGTGCGAGGCAGGCCTGTATGTTTAAGAAAAGATAATGCAAGGTATCATAAAAGCCCTGTTCAGTCTGCTTCTCCTTACAACGCCAATTATCCAAATATGCTTGCTAGCTTTCTTCATTTGTCACTGTGACAAGATTTCCACTCGGCAGCCCCCAGCTGCTCTTATCAATATCTTCCGGGCGGCATCGCCATGAGCATCCTCGATTGACAAACGGTATCGTCCTCTCGCCTTCTGCCATACTCAACGGTGTCATCCGTACGAAAGCTGAGTTATCGTGGCTGGCCCTGTTACAAGCCCGAACTTCTCGCCATTCAACCCACTTGGTGGTGGGAATGACCATTAATTTTTGACAGCGTGAACATGACAATCCGCCAGCCTCTTTCTGTCTTTGTGCTCGCTCCAGGAGTTTCCTGAGATGGTTGAGGCCTTCTGGCATGTAGTACGGCATCTCCGAAAGCTGAGTACTGGAATAACAGGCTCGAAGAGCTGTCTCGAGAAGGCTAGGCACGCGGCTTGCACCTTCGAGACGTTGTGACTCTGTCATGGATGAGACTGAGGACGATGGGCAAAACTCAGGCTCTCCTTCATCAACGGGCAGAATGAGTTTTGTATGGTCTATTGGGAATTTGAAGTCTGAAAGAATCCTTCCCGTGCTGTCCGAGAGCTGCAGAGGACTTCGACCTAGTGCACGACTCACTAAACGTGGCGTTGGCGACGCTCCGGCCTCGGCCTGGAAGAAGAGTGTTTTGCTCAGTTGAGCATCTGTCGATTCCAGGCTCTCATTTGGTTGCCAGAATGGATTAGGATGGACAACAAGTTTGTCAAGTTTGCTATCTGGTGCGAAAAGCTCCAGCAACTCTACGGGCAAATGCCGTAAACGATTATGTGATACGTTGAGTTCCTTCAGATGATGAAGTTTCGCAACAGCGGGGGGAAGTTCGGTGAGCTTGTTATGGCGGAGGCTCAGGATTGTGAGATGCGTTAGATCGAAGATGGCACCAGGAACCCGAGTCAACCGGTTCTGTGCCATATATATCTTAAGCTCGGGATCCTTCTGCTCGAAGGCAACATCCTTGGTCACGACAGGGATGCAGGTCAACTGCGACAAAGGACTGATTGTATCATTTGAGACATCTTCCAGTCCCAACGACCAAAAGTCGATTGTCTCTTCGCCCGCGTCAAGACAGGCACGGACTCTGTCACGCGCAACTTGTTCAGCTCTTGAGACGCGGCGCACGACGCGATCAAGTTGTGGAAGTCTGGGCTTTGGAACTTCGGGTACTGTTTCTAGTACATCGCTCTCATTGCCATCACTGCCGAGGAAGACACCACTGTCTGCCTGTCGCGTCCACTGACGCCTCTGTTTGGGGACGTGAATCTCACTGAAGGTTGAGTCGGAAGAGGTGGGGTGTTGCTGAAACCATGAACCAATGTATCTCTTCTTTCGTCTCCCCTCTACATAATTGTCCAATGCTGGGTCATCATCACTGGAGAATACGGCGGGATCACTTGAATTGTTGAAAGTTGAGGATGGCGCGTGCTTTGAAGCGGCATTGCGGACGCGTTTCCGAGGATTGTTGCTGAAGGTCTGCGATTGTTCGTCCCACGACACAGCGGGGAGAATAGGCAGAGATAATTCTTCCGACGACATTGGCGATATATAAAGATGATATTCTTCAAACTGATGTTACTCGAGAACACATAAAAAAAGACTTGAAGTGGTGCAAAAACTAAGACCTGGCTTGTCCAACGCGACTCGACTTGACACTGGAGGCAGAGTGACGATGGAAACCTAATGGAATACAGGGTTCAATTGCCCCACTGACGCACTGAACCTGCCATGAACCTTTCCGTTACTGGGTGCGCACGTGCCATTGCCAGCCACTCGGCCCCTAACGAGCCGGCGGTTTCAGGGTCGGGTCCTCACGAGGATTCCATCAGTGAACACGACCTATTGATAAGATGATCAGATAACGGCAATCTGATAAGTGTGTTCTCGCCTCCTTTTCTGTCTTCTCATCGTTTCCGTCTAATATTTATTGAAAAGTCGTTCTTTTGAGTTGAATCTGATCCTGGCAGGGCCATCGCGGCAGTCTTCTGTTATGGCTCATTTCTTGGAATGAAAGGGATTGGACACGAACTTCCTCACAGCCGGGTCACTAAAATGACCACAATGAAACCTGCAATACGATTGAACTCTTTTTTCTCATTGAAAATCTTATAGGTAGAATGACCACATATAAATGCCTGCTCGAAAAGCCGATCAACAATGCCGAATGAATGAGCAAGGCGACAAACTACACTACCGGTGTATATATATCGCACCAAATGTCTGTGCTAGCTATGTATGTACTCCATTTTCAAAACGATTGCCTCATCGGCTTGCCATTCACTGGCTCTATTTATTAATTGGCCGACCTCCAACAGGGCGGATCATCAGAGGAACTGTGACATCTGATGGACCACCCCAGCTTGAAAAGTCAGACTTATGGCTATCAACTTCCTCGAAGCCAAATTTCTCATAAAGCTTTCGTCCTTGCACTGAAGATTCTAAACATGCTGGAACGCCCAGACGATCAGCTTCCACAAGGCCCAAATTGAGCAACAGGGAGGCTGCTCCACGTCTGTGGTGCTTCGGGTCTGTATGTAGGAGTTTCAGATCTAAGGGTTTTGGCGAGTCAGAGAACACATCTAATACAAGATTCAACATTGAGACATACAAACATATGGCTTTCCTTTCATGTAGTTCACCCTCATATTGTCCATGCCTCCGAAGAAGAGTTCGCATGCTTCCGCATTACAGCTCGGTCCCCGATAAGAAGGGAAATAATGTTGCTCCTCTGTTGGTGGAGTCTCCCAGATATACCACACAGCAAAGGCAATCATCTGGTCTTCCTCTTTGTCTATATCAGTATCAATGACTTTAGCCCATCGACAGGCCGCGTCCTTCCGGAGAGAAGCAATAAGATCCGCGACTCTTGTTGAGGACTCAGAAGCTCTCCCTCCTGGAAACAACACTGCGCTTACTGGACTCGGGCCATAGGCGACGGTCTCAATGGCCGCAGCTCTATAAGCATCGACTTCGGTAGCTGGCAGGACTTTGAGAGGCATGGTGCACAGTTGGCGATGGTGGGAAACATTTACATTGATGGGCACAAGATGTTGCTACCTAAGTAAATGCCGGCTCCGTCGTATTCTACATTTACATGGGTTTACGACTTCACGTCAATCTTCGGCGAGCCTGAATAGGCATGTCGTTGAGCTCCTGCTCCGCTGTCGGCTGGAACGGGATCTGGGACAATATTGACGAAATCCTGGTAAGGAAACGAGGAGTACCCCAACAAACAGCTCTAGAATCGCATAAAAGAAGATACAAACTCTCACGGAATGAAATTTTAGTTGAGAGCTTATTCTGAGTCCAACTTTGAACTGTATCCTCTTCGCTTCATCTTTAGATGTAGGAGTGATTGATGGCAGGTCATGATGGAAGCTTCGAGCTGCCGAGGCCGGTTTAAACCGTTATCGATACTCGGATAATCCAACAGCCGCCACCGAAAAATTCACTCGTTGCGCGATTCAAGGTCCGGTTGGCCGCAACCTTTGACGGCGACCTCACATTTTTCAAATCCAAACCTCGCCGTCATCAGCCTCGCCCTCGAACCCTCGCCCTCCCCCACCATCACAACTTTCATACACATAGTCAGCCATGGATCACGGACGAGACCCCTGCCCTTGGGTCATTCTCAATGACTTTGGTGGTGCTTTTTGCATGGGCGTAAGTTTAGCCCTTCGTGCTGTTGACGATCGATTACAGCGACAATTGCGATGAGCGTAAACCGGGACACAGCTAACATTTGCCTCGCTAGGCTATTGGCGGTACTATCTGGCACGGAATCAAGGGCTTCCGCAACTCTCCCTATGGCGAGCGACGCATTGGCGCCATCACAGCCATCAAGATGCGCGCCCCGGTTCTCGGTGGTAACTTTGGTGTCTGGGGTGGTCTCTTCTCAACGTTCGACTGCGCTGTGAAGGGTGTTCGCCAGAAGGAGGATCCTTACAACGCTATTATTGCTGGTTTCTTCACTGGTGGCTCTCTCGCCATCCGAGGTGGTTACAAAGCCGCTCGAAACGGTGCTATCGGTTGTGCTGTTCTTCTTGCCGTCATCGAGGGTGTCGGTATTGGTTTCTCTAAGATGCTTGCTGGGAGCACCAAGTTAGAAGCTCCTCAGCCTCCACCTCAGGAGGCTACTCTGTGAGCCAGCATCTGACGAAACGAAATACTATGATCGATAAATGACGATCGAACAACCTTCGACTCCCCCACTCTCAACTCCACCACCACCACGACGAACAAATTCTCCGGGTCGGGCTTTCGAAGAGCCATGCCTCTTGTATTTTAAGCACCAATACCACCATCACCACGAACGAAAATCTGGCAGACGTTTTAATCCTTTCAATTTGCATCGGGTCGGCGTTCCATGTATAATAGAACAAGATATCGGAAGGGTTTCGGGAAGGTGGAATCTGGTTTAGCGATGGAGTTGCCATACTTCTTGCGAATACAGGCTAACTTATGTCTGATGAGGAAAAGAAGAGCGACTGTGTATTATACCAAGCGACGAAGAGAACTTGGGAGTGCACGTGGACCTGCAGGTCCAAGAGATATAGGAATGGGAAATTCCTGCTGCAGATATTTATACTGCGCTTATTTATCGTGGATTGGGTACAGAACGAATATAAATGACATTCCTGTTCACTCTATGGGCGCTCATTGCTTTCGCTTGTCTATAAGTCACTCGACGGCTCATTGCTAAAGATGCTCATTTGGGGATTTCCCTCGTCATCAATCCAGGCTCGAAACATGCCACCGCAGTTGAAATCCATTAGGACTTCAGACCGAGTCTCAATGACTTGGCCATGTGAATCGCGAACGACAACACTCTCGATGCCAATGACACCGCCTTCACCCTCACCTGTCCGGCGCCATCTATCACTCGCACTTCTTTCCAGCTCTCCGCCTGGGCCTGCAATATGAGTCACAGCCTTGGAACCTGACTCTGGTTTCCACCTCGCCATAGCTGCAAGGGTTCGTAGCGCATTTGTCCTCAGAAAGGAATCGCCGTTACCAGTTCCAGAGCCGCCAATGGACCTCGTGGTTGAGACTCGTTTACCACTGAGCTCGAGGGGAGTATATGTCACAGGAGTCGGAAAGCAGTCTGCCAATGTTCCTCTCAGAACATCGCTGAGCACCAGTGAGGGACCCGACTCGGTCATGGCTTTCTTCAAGCGACCCCACGTGGACGACCCGGTCGGATCACCATCCTCGGTCCATTCCTCTGCCCAGAAGCCTGACCCAATTGTAGGCCTGTCACCAATACGACCAGTGAGCTTATTTGTCAGACCTCCTGTACTGGTTGCCGCGCAGATCACACCATCTTGATCAAGGGCTACTGCGCCGCATGTCCCTTGAGGTAGATACTCAGTCGCACTCCAGGTTGCTTGCCCCAGACCTTTCTTCTCTTTCTCGAGAGCCCGGATATGCTCATCCCAACGACGTTGGGTAAAGAAGTAACTAGGGTCGACAAGCTCTAGTCCATACTGTTGCGCGAGTTGCTCGGCGGCCTTTCCATAGAGCTGTGTATGTCCCTGCGCGGATGGGACATCAAGATCGCCTGAGCTGACTCCTCGGGGATTCGCCTCCAGGTCGTCTTCGCCATGTTCAAGCATTGCTCGTGCTAGGAGGATGGGATTCTTCACATGGCGGAGACCCATGACACCGACACCTCGCTTCTTATAACCACGGGATACCATGACTGAGGCCTCAAGTTCAATGACTCCATCACGAGTGAACACAGCGCCGTGTCCGCTGTTGAATAGGGGATTGTTCTCCAGAAGACGGACTGCGAAGGTTGCGGTATCTAAAGCTGAAGGGAGCTTCTTGGGTGACTTTTCTGAGACTACCTCATGACTTCTCATGTACTGGTCCGCTCTGGTGACCTAAAAGTCCAATTAGATACTTGAGAATATGGGACTTCTCATGCTACCGTGTATGAACTCACAATGTCAACAAGAGCTTTACGATAAGCCCGAAACTGTTGCGGCGGGTACGTATCGCGCTTTATATTACCTGCGCCTCCGTGAATGACCAGGCGAGGCTTCAGTCTCGGTTTTGTTTGCTCTTGAGGGCTCTGTAGTCCATCTTTGGTGGTCATAACCAAGTTATTGCAGGTTAAAAACCAAGATAGTGAAATGTCAAGGGTTAGACAATCTCCCCTCACTGATTGCTAAAGATGAGCATTACGACATATACAGAGCCCCACTCGTGATCAAACCCAACATGGACTCATCCAGATAATAAGAGGAGATATTGGCATATTTTGAGAATAACATTACCGTCTTTTTATTTAAAACGTTGTAGACAAGAGTTTTCAAGGATATAAGCCCATAATATTGTACATGAATATTTCTTCAATCGATTCCCAGAGTTTAACAGGAGTCTTATGCTGCCCTAACACCATGCAAATGCGCCAACATTCATAGGCTCTTTTTCAATCATATCGGAGTTAAACGTCCAAGATTATAGTGACCAATGGCAAGCAAACCGGGACTGTGGCATTATGCCTGAGCCAGTACAATAGACGACTTAACTGCTCTGTCTATATCCCTTGGTCGTAAGCCTGGCGTGCGACCTAAACAGACTGCCCTGCTTGTCATTTCTATACTTGATTAGTTACTGCCTTCATAACACAAGTTGAAGGAACTCACCTGCTACTAGTCTATTCACGTCCATCGTCACTTTTGTCTTCATCCAACTGGCATCTGTGGCCCAATATCGAGGAAAATATGATGAATCTGTGAGAGATCCCATCCCTGCACCAAACTGCCCAGGGTTGGTTGACTCAACTGTTGGCATAATGTTGATGAAGTCAACGCTCATTGCAGGCGCCATGAGAGAAGTTTGTGTCAATGACGCTGTGGTGGTAGCGATGGTGGTAGGTATCGTGCTTTGCCACATACTCGATATGTCACTTGTGGCTTGCTGAGACGGCATATAAGGCGCTTGGCTTGATGCAGGGGGTTGCTGCGTTCCGAAGAAGCTGCTGTTCGTCCCTAAGCCCGAAAGATCTGGGGTTTCGTCAAACGAGCCCATATCAATCTCAGCATCAACAAAATCCACGTTAGCAGGTATCACGATACCCCGTTGACGTAGATATGTTTCCACCTCATCTGCATCGAAGAAGTCCCCTTCAAATCCCTGGTACATCATTCGCATGCGAGTGTCAATGTGATCACCTTTGGCCGCTTCAACTTCTGGGTTGAAAGGGCCTATTGAAAACCCAGTCATCTCATGTGGCTTCATATGCTGTGTCAACCCTTGGTTTCCTAGCGGTATCGCGTTCCCGTTGGCTCCTAGTGCTGTATTTCCCCCGGCTTCTCCATTACTTGGGAAGAAAGTCCCAGCACCACCCAGGTTCGTGAAAGGATACCTCCAGACAAACATTGATTCCTGGCTCACTCTTGCCAATGTGTTAGATATGCGGCGGATGATAGACTCCCTGGGCTCGAATAGTAGACAAAATCCAAAGACCTCAGCATATCGATGAGGAGGTGGGTTGGCCATCGATGCCAACCTCAGACCAGCCTCCAAAGTTGCTCTCTGAAGGCGGCGACCAAAACTGCGTTCTTGGGGCGCATAACTGGTTGGCGAATGGACGTTGGGAAAGGGTGATTGAAGGAAAGGATTTTGCTCGAAACTGATTGTCGTTTGCGTGTCGTAAACCGGGAAACTGGCATTGTCTGTAGTTGGCATTGTGATGATTTCGTAAGGCAGGTTCAGCGGGGGCGTAGCCTGTTGCCGTATAGTGGCGTCCGGTCTTCGTGGAGTAGACAGGCTCTTCTCTTGAGGAACGCTAAAGCCAGGTGGGTTCTGTAGCATGTATTCACCACTCCCCGAGTCAGAAGTGCTAGAGTCGGAGCCAGATGGGTGCCGTCCTGGGGGCTGTGATACAACTTGCTCTTGTGCTTGCTCAGAGGCTGGAGTGTCTTCGATGCCATCGCGGGTTGAGTCATCGGCAGATTTCCTTGTGAGTGAGAGAAACTTGCGGGTTGTATCATTAAGACGTCTTGCAACTTCAGGTGCACCTTCCAGCATTCCCTGGGAGAGGACAAAGTCAAAAAAGTTCATGAACTCTTTGCTCATGTTTTCATTAGCATCTTCAAGATCCTTGACTTTGTCCTCAAGGGTCGTAATTGCAGTATCCTTGCGATTGCGATAGGCCCTTTGCGCCAGTCGGATCTGCGTTCGACGACGCTGCGGAAATTGTTAGTCAGAATGAGATTAGGCAGAGTGAAGAGCTTGGCTCATCGCATGAACTCACATCTTGAGCCGTCTCATCTCTGGTGTCAAGGCGTGGGCGGCCTCTTGATCGTTTCTTACTCCGTTCCTCTTCGTCTTCTTCGGACGCCTTAGATCGCTTCCGCGCTGACAGCGACTTAGGAGCGGTCTGAGGTTCTTCAAGCATGGTGGCTGGTTCTTAAATGAGGACGTTGTGATCTGAAATGGAGAGGGTGTATTGAACGATGAAGTCCGGAGAGGATAGCCTCAGGGAATGCGGTCAATATGAATCATGTGATAATTAGCCGTAGCCACAAATACTTCGAGTGTATGAATTTTTTGGAATGTGTCAAAGTGTAACTGCTGGGACAACGACTGTATGACCCCGGTGAAGCCGGATGAAATTCGGACCTCCGCCGATTCTGCTCCGTATGCCGGGGTGGGGATCTGCGGAGGGTACGGAGCAAAGGCGAGGATGATACTCAAATGATGGCGGAATGATAGGGGCAGAGAGGTGAGATGATGTTGGGGTTGGTGGTGAGGGGGAAAGAGGGCTGTGCATCGGCTAGGATCTCAAATGCCGATCGATGTCTGCTTATCGACTAGCGTCAGAAAAGTGATGATCAACCAAGATAGGCACTACATTCAGGAACGGAAAACCTAGGCTTTGGAACTGCTCGTTGTCTTTTTATCGTGTTATTGTGCAAGTGCTTGGATTGAAAGGGCAAGTATTTCAACGTTACACAAAACACTGTTGACTGTTCTACCCTCTCGAAACAATCTTGAGATTGGATGCATCTACACCAAGGCATCAAGCACGAGAGGGGCTTGGCCATTGCTCAGCCTTAAATGGTTAGTGTGTTCCAGCGGATCGGAGCGACGTTTGACCCACTGAAGAGGCAGTGTCCAAAGCGGGGGATGAATCTGGGCGGGACCAAAATTTGATATGTAAATGCAAGACAGAGAGACAGCAAACCATTACTTGAACCAGTCTAATGCGTGCAGTGGGATCAAATAAAACCAAAATGCATCCACTCATCCACTCACATAGACTATTCATTCACCAGAAGTTTATGTCCAATCGATCCAATTAGCAGCTATCCAACCCTCAAAGACCCTCCACTGCTTCAGGGTAGTCCTAAATGGGTCAGCTTTGCGCCGGACGCACCTAGGCCACCAAAATGTCACTGCCACTTTCGCGACAGGGGCCTCGTACCCACCAACAAACGACTTTATTATTCTGTCGTTTCATAACCTCTTCACTCATCCTCACGCTAGCATCTTCTGCACATGCGTCTGGTTTGCTCTCTTTGCTCCAGAAAAATCAAATCCGTCAATCATTGTTGCCCCTAAAAATAATATAGGTATCGGGCTTTGTCACATTATGGCTCCTGTTTTACTTTGACGGCGCTATCATTTCGCGAAACTACCACCGCAACCCCGACGACATCTGCTTTACCTTCAGCGTCCCTCAGCATGGGCGACTGGGCCCGGGGATGGACCAGAGTCGGGCAAACAGGTCCGACCCAGCACTATGGTCGTGTATGGGAGGCTGAGCGCGAGCTCCAGGAGCTTAGCATCATAGAAAGCTGGAATGATGATGATAGTTGGCCCGGCATGTACGCTATTCATAGCCGATGAGCTGCGCACACCTTCGATGCTGACATTGCCTGCGCAGAAACAAACCGCTCTTCAATGGCCCCGATGCGAAGCGCTTTGATACAAAACTTGCTAAACTTGAAGATCTGGGATATGGCGCATTCGGTCGCGTTGAGAAGGTCTCCTACGGGTCTGTCTGTCTTGCACGCAAAAGGATCCCACGCCGACGCGGGTTTACTATCGACGATTTGCGCAAGGAGAGCTTGACTATGCAGAAACTCGACCATCGTCATGTCGTTAAATTGGTTGCCACTTACGCACCTCGAACCCACGAATTATGCCTGCTCATCTGGCCTGCTGCCATCTGTAATTTGAGCACTCTCCTCGAAGACTTAGAATACCTGCGCATGGGAGAAGGGGATCGTGAAGATATCCTCGAGAGGCTAGATGCTTTAGACATCAAGGATTTGAGTGCTATAGAGCAATCATCTGAAGACCAGCGTCTCCACTCAACAACAAAATGCCCACTCGAATTCTTACGCAATACAATAGGTTGCATTGCTCGCGCATTGGCCTATTGCCACCAGAATGATGTGAGGCATCTCGACATCAAGCCATCTAATATCTTGCTCAAGGCAGACCGAGTCTACCTTGCTGATTTTGGCGTCTCGAGAGATGTTAGTGGACAGGATCAAACTATGACAGAGGGAGTACCGGGAACTGAGAGATGGCGAGCCCCTGAATTGTATGCCAACAACGGTTCCAGCATGCAGTTGTCAGATATTTACTCACTTGGTTTAGTATTTCTGAATATTGCAACCGTTCTGTATAATGTTCGGCTAGCCGAGTTTGACGAAGCGTTGAGATACCCATCTAGGAATACCCAGGAAGAACAGCTTCTTGAGCGAGAGAAGAAGCTGAATGCTCACTTGGAAAAACTGACCTCTCATGCCTTGGTCACACCCCCTTTTATGTTTACCTACGAGGGCCAAGAAACAGTCCGTCCCCGGCCAGTTGTCAACTTGATTGCTCGGATGATCACTCCAAACCCCAAAAACCGATTGCACGCATACAAAATTGACGACAAACTGTCCATGCTCGGAGGAATTCATCAAATTTATCATGGAGAGTGTTGCAAAAGGCCAATATCGTGGGTCGAAGACAAGTGGGACAAAAAGCTCACGGCATTGACGAGCCTTCGGAAAGAAAACGATCGCTTGAAACAAAAGGTTTCTGAGCTCGAAGGACGAGACAGAACATACGAATCTCGAGTCCAGCGCGAGGTCGATCAACATAAGCAGACAGTGGTCATGCTTCAAAAGAAACTAAAAGATATGGAGGATAGGTGTCATGTGTTGGAAGCAGATCATGGCAAAAGGAGGAGTAGCGCGAGTAAGCCCCCCAGCAAAATGGCGATGCCGCGACCCTATCGAAGCAGCACAACGAATCTTGAATCTGGACCTGGGCTTGAATCGTCACAAAAATCGAAGTCGACACCGGTTACGCCAGCGGCAAGGCCGGCCTTTCAGCCGTGGTCTCGGTCTTATCAGCGTCTCCCGCCAGAGCAGAGAGCTTCGCCACTGCAACGACAAGCCGTCTCACCGCGGCCACCGAATGACGTGACCCCCAAAGGTTCAATCGAATTTCCGACCTCGAGATCGCCAAGTTTCACCAATATTTCGGGTTATACTTTGCGCTCGCGTGGATCTGGTTCAAAGCTCCCCTTGCCAGTTACACCGTCTCGAAGTGAAACGCCGAATCTCAACCGTGACCAAAGCCTCACGGATAGCAGCATGTCCTCGTCCGTATTTTCTCGACATAGCGTCGAGACCAATCCAACACCTCTACAAAGCAGCCCAGCCCTGGACCGCAACTCGCTTCCTATGGACTCTGCAGAGGGACCTCAATGGGGCCAATTGCCCACACATCCTGGTCAGCCCGATGCGAGAGTGGTGACCCCTGAACCCCGGCCAGCGCCGCCAGAGCCGAGCAGCCCTGCCTTCTCCATGCCCTTTTCCACCATGTCATCCCCGAGAACTCTTCGGTCCGACCTCGCAAGCATCGACGGGGACCAGACACGCCGACCATCTGTACCCTCACTGCAATCGTTAAAGAGCTGGGCTGAAGTCGCAAACGAGGGGAAAAAGACGTTGAAGATGATTACTCGACCACGCGCGCACTCGAATAGGTCCAATAGACAGCTGGAGGCAGAACCTGTCTAAAAACATGTATCATGACAGAATGACGACGTTGATGAATGATGTGGATGTTTTGGGCATACGCTTTTAGGAATTTGTGCATTTCAAGTTCCGATCTACATAGCATTTGAAGCCAAAAGTTGAATACAAAGGGTATCATATCACATCTATATTACCTATATTGCACATGTCTATATCCTTTCCAATTCCACTCTAAATGACAGAAACTGGGTATAATGAAAGAATATGATTACATACCCTTTTGCTGGCCACCTCTTCGCATGGTCGCAATTTGGCTGAAAAATTGAGCTTCTTTGTCAGATTCCACCGCCCCTAACAGAGAATTCTCTTTCTTGGCCAGCCCCTGCCCCTTTGCCCATGAGCCACGTCTACCACTGCCGTTCACTCTGCCTTCGTACTTCCTGGCATATTCATCCCCTAACTTTTTTGCCCTTGCGACCCATTGTTCAGACAAGAACGGGTCTTGGAATGAAGTGTCTTTCGTTCGCTCCATTTCAGCATGCTTTTGGCGATATTCTGTTAGGATTGTATCCAAAGTCTCCTTTGCTAATTTAGGATCAGTTGGCTTTGCGCCACTCTGCTGTTCTTCCTTGACCAGTGCAAGTTCCTGTTCAATAAGACTGCTCACTGCTTTAGCGCGAGCCGTCTGGTCGTTTGTGATCTTCGTAAGTTTTTGATCCCACCAAGCCTTTGTTAGAGTCGCAGTGAAGTGATATGAAGCCAGCGGCCCATCCCTTACAACTTCATCCGTTAAGCCTTCCTCAAGTAGCAATTTGTCCATCATGGCGTCCCATCGATCACCTAACTCGGCCCGCGGCATGTCCTCAAGCGAAACTCTCAGAAGAGTTCTAACAGACCGTCGAAATATGTTTGTCTTTCTACTAAGTGCCCGCGAGAACACCCTCGGCTGTGGTTTCTTGATTCGAACGAAAGATAGCAACTCAGCAGTGTTACCAGTAACTGGCACCTTTCTCTCGCCTACAAATGCAGTTTTTGGAAGAGGACGGATGGTTGGTTCGTATTTAACAGGCTCACCAGGGTCAGAGACCTTGGTGAAGAGTGGAGGGTTGAGTCGTTGCTTCGAACGGGGCGGCTTTTTGTAGGAGGGGGCTTCTAGACGCGAAAGGTTGGCCGTAAAGTTGCGTTTGCGGAGATGTCGAAGTATTGTAGAGTGCTCTGGCGACTTTGTATCTCGTCCTTTCGTTAATAAAGTAAGGAACTGAACAGAGCATTAGACCGTGGAGACCGAATCTTGTTCAAACCTCAAACCTTGTATCCTGCAACCATTGAGTCGTAAAGAAGCCTGAAGCTGGTGAGGAGCTTATTCTTGGCGAATCTCTCTCTCACTATTTTTGTTAACGGATGTTTC